TGATCTTGTTTTAAGGATGTAATAATTACATGTATATAATTATTATTATTATTATATACTACTTACTATTATCATTACCGTCTTGCTAAAATATCCTTACAACAAATTGAATGTAAAAACCTTTAAAAAAAAAGAAAATAAATAAAAAAAAAGACTTCTTTTGAAGAGTTGAATACATCATCTGCAAATTATTTATTTATTTTTGGTGTATTATTTATGTATTCTGTGCAAAGGGCAAAGTTTTTCCTTTTTCCTTCTCCATTGCCCGGTGGCTCTAGTTTCTAAACAAAAAGTTGGCATGTTGATATGTAAATGTAGGCGGTCCTGTTTTTTTTTTTTTTACCTGACGCCAGGAAGTCGCAGATTATTTAAAAAGGGAAAAAAAAAAAAAAATCATGATATGACCGATTCAATCCTATGACCCATACTGAATGTATGCCCTTGCTGTGACAGTTTTGTATGTATACTGCTCACTCTGGGGAACTGAAGACAAGTGAAACACGGTCTTCAAAGCAATCAGTGTTATGTGCTTCCTTCGGGATTCAGCTACAATGTACATGACTGTCGGACAAAGCACAGCATTCTTAAGACTGAACAAGGACGTTCGTCCCGTGACACTAGGGCAATTTAATGGGAACTAGATGAAGTAGAGGGCTTCGGGACGAAATACAAAGGAGAAAGAGGACAGGCAGGGCTCACGGTCATACAGGCAAGACCAGGGAGGCAGGGAGAAATATGATGAAACATTCAGCAACTTACATATCCATCATCATAAGGACTCATAGAGTAATATCCCTTCATGAGCAGATGGTCAGACACACAAACACACAGGAAAATATGATTAAGGATACACTAGCTGCAAAAGCATGTAAATATCAAAACATTTTAGGCAATGTCAGATTATCCCACCACTATGTGACTCTTTTTAGGGTCCCGATGTGAAAAATGTTGGGTTTTGTAGGGAAAATGTTACAAACCAAAATATTTTGGGTTGCTTTAAGTTACTAAACCATGATAGAAACTGAAAACAAAACATAAAATACATATGATAAAAGCAATAGATAAAAAATTTTTTAAATTCCAGCTGCAAAAATTCAGTACATGGTAAATGTGAAAGCAATTCAAATGTTTTTATGTTTAAAAAAATGTGAAACACACACACACACACACACACACACACACACACACAAAACACGCAATGTCAAGAAAAATAAGATAAATCATATTGTACTTAAAATAAAGCTTATTTTAGATTTGTGTCATCGTGACATTATATTTATGACATTTAAGCACATTTCCCTGCAAATTGTCATTACCATAATCTATAAAAATCTCATTGTTACAAAAATGCATTGTCTCGATATATAAAAATGGTCATTACCATAATGTAATTAAAATAATTGAAAATGACAGATTATGGTAGTGTTTGTCACTTTAAATTTTGCTGATTTTAACACACACACACACAATCTTTTTAATATTGTTACAGTAATGAATCACCATTGAGAATAATGACAATGGATTTTTTTTATGCAAAAACACGTGGAACAGTGGCCAAACGTGTTCTTCTAACATGTTTACAAAAAAAAACAAAAATGCATTGGAATGCAAAAACTTGTTCTGTGTGAACATCCTTAAAGGCACACTCCTTTTTGAAAAAAAATAGGCTCATTTTCCAACTCCCCTAGAGTTAAACAGTTGAGTTTTACCGTTTTCTAATCCATTCAGCCGATCTCCGGGTCTGGCGGTAGCACTTTTAGCTGTAGCTTAGCATAGATCATTGAATCTGATTAGACCGTTAGCATCTCGCTCAAAAATGACCAAAGAGTTTCGATATTTTTCCTATTTAAAACTTGACTCTTCTGTAGTTACATCGTGTACTAAGACCGACGGAAAATGAAAAGCTGCGATTTTCTAGGCCGATATGGCTAGGAACTATACTCTCATTCCGGCATAATAATCAAGGAACTTTGCTGCCGTACCATGGGTGCAGCAGGCGCAATGATATTACGCAGCGCCTGAAAATAGGCTAACTTCCGTCAACATAACCAACGTGACCACCTGCTTGCACAGGGAGCGTGACTTCCGTTGGAAGTTACCTAGCTGGGGACTATTTTCAGGCACTGC